AATTGTCCTCTTTGTAGGTTATTGTGTTATACAATTTCATTTTTTTCAATTCAGAATTTGCATAATTTTGAATGTCGGATATTTCTACGACGGCGCGTTCAGGATTTTTGCATCCCAAACTTTTAAATTGTTTATTGTCGGATAATTCAACGACGGCGTGTTCAGGATTCTTTAATCCCAAACTATTCGAACTTTTAGTGTCGGATAATTCAACGACGGCGTGCTCAGGATATTTTAATCCCAAACTATTAAAACTTTGGATGTCGGATAATTCAACGACGGCGGGCTCAGGATATTTGAATCCCAAACTATTGACGGATAATTCTTCGTCGGCGTGCTCAGGATTTTTTGATCCCAAGCTATATAAACTTCCTTCTACCTTTACTGAATCGCTTTTCATTTCTTTTTCTTCTTCAAAATATTTTTTTATTATATATTCCTTCAACGGAAGGATGGTTTTTCCTTCTATAAAGGTTAATTTGTTTAAAGAAAGGACCTCGTCATATATTAGTTTCTCCTCATTGTCTTTATAACTTAAAGTCCCCTTTCCTGTATCAATAACCGCTCCGATTTTCTTTAATAGGTTAAATCCTATTAGTAAATCTGCCTCCATTCCATCTATTTCATAAAACACTTGCTTTGTGTTGAAAATTGTTATATTATGGAAATATTTAATTATTGAAAACCCATTCACTGTAGCAACTTTCTTATAGATTGGTAATTCATTTTTATTGTCGTAAATTCCTTTTTTTATATAACAGGAAGTTGCTCCCGTATCTATCAAAACTTTTAATTCTCTGTTTATTTTTTTGTCTACTCTTTTTAGGTAGGGCAGACCTACTTCGGGGGCTGATCTAAAAAATGATCCTCCTCAATGTTATTTATCCTCATTGCTTTATTAGCCGGTTGTTCCGACATTTCGTTTAGTTTTCGTTTCTGCGCTGGATTGTCGTTAGACTGATTATTCGGGACTACGTTTGCCCTAAAATGCTGGGCTTGGCTATAATTGTTATTATTTCTCCTAAAATAACCGTTAGTATTCTCCCGATAATTTCTATTGTTATTATTTCCCCTGAATTGATTGCTGTTCTGTCGGTTCCGGATTTGTATAGATTCGTCTACCTCCATTGGTTCTGGGGCCTGATTTTGTTGTCTATTACCCAAGAAATAGGGTTGTCCCCAAGACATGTTATTCCTCTGCAAATCCCTTTTTTGGTCGAATGGTGAACTGTTAGTCCTAGGTTGTCGTTGGTTGAATCTTAAGGTATTAAAATTATTATTCCCTGAATTTCTGGGACCGCTGAATTGGTAGGCAAATTGGGCCCGAATGTTATTAGATTGCAATTCCTGTACCTTTGCTAAGGCATTCGGTAAATCTGGGGGATTCAATGAAAATAGGATTTCAGCAATGCCGCCGTTTAGGCCAGTGACAAAAATGCGTAAGGCATTGTCTCTAATTTTTTTATTTGATTCCTTGGTGATCTCACTGTCCTTTCCGTGAGTCATTATTGTCTTATTTATTAACAAGGTCATTTTCTTGTTAACCTCGTTATAGAAATCTATAATTGAAAGGTTCCCTTGTCGGAGAACGCTTAATTCCTGTTCTATTATGTAAATAGGTCTCTTGTCACTGTAAACAAAGTCAAGCCGTGAAAGTATGGCATCAAAATTTAGAACTGTCCCGTGGTTGGTCAGTGCGTCATGTGCTGGTCCTGTTATTTTGTTTCTCAAAATTGTTAATGCAATATAATATTGCTTACTTCCTTTCTTATATAACTTCACTGCAGTTTCTGCAGCTTCCCTCCATCCTACATATTGGTTTAATCCACCATTAAAAATTGGTAGGGATTCTATTACCTTCAATGTGGTGTCGTCTCTTATTGTCTCGTCTATTGTTTCTGCCTGATAATCCGATACCTGATCGGATTTAGTTTCTATTTGCTGTTTTAAATTTACAATTTGCTCTTGTACTTGTGAAATTTGAAGTGCTATCAATTGTTTGACCAGATCTGCTGTGAGATCGGTCCTTGCTTGAGAGTTAATCATTTTTAGTTTTTCAAAATCTAAAGTTAGCTGATCCACTTTTAATTTTTCTTATATGTTAGTTTTTATAATCTTATATATCCTAATTGAACTTATATATTTATTAATACAACTCTTGCTCACGAAATATCCGGTAGGGGTCGTCCTTCTTAGTTTGGCAGATCTTCGAACGGGTCTTCCTTCTTAAATTTCTTTGCTCAGCTGGGTCTTCTGGGGGTCTTCCTTCTTTGGCTTCGCTGATCGTTTCACTTTCTTTGTATTTTGGTTTTGTCGGTTTTGTTGGTTTTGTTTTTTTAAAAACTTTGGGTTTCTTTGGTTTTTTTTGTATTTACGAATTGCCTTGATTAGCTTTTTGTTTTATTTGTATTTTGCGTTGTATTTGTATTTGTATTTGTATTTGTATTTGTATTTGTATTTGTATTTGTTTTTGCACACCCTAAGCTCCGGTTTGTTTCCTTTTTATCTCACTTTTTTTTATCTATATCACACAGTCACTCCGCGTTTTTAATTTTGAAGGATTTATTCCATTAATTAATTGTCCTTCGGGTTTCGGCACGACGCAACACTTTTATCATTCGGTGCTTTTTAGACAACGTCGCCCCACGTTGGGCGCCAATTAAACAACTGCGGTAGCGGATTGTGTTTTTAAAAAGTTTTTATTTTACTTCGAACTTCACTGATATAGATTTAAGTAGAGGGTCACAAAGGAATTCCGGGCAAGGGATTGCGCGATCTTAATATTGAGCTAGACTTTGCGGTGTCGCTGCTGGATCAAGACTGATTTGAACTTTCTGATCTTTGCATCGTTGATCCCTTTCGGGAATCGTTTTTCTATAAACATTTCAATTGATTTCGCCATCCCGAGTATTGGATTTCGTCATCCAAAGAGAGAACTGTAAAAGGCCTAAAGTGCAGGATCTGCAGAAAGCCGGGAGTGAGATTGTTTATGAGAAGCCGGGTGTGGGCAAACATTGGTTTTCCATTTAGGCGAGTGTCAAAGATTGGGGTTGCGGCGGGGGCGCTTGAGATTGTACATCTTAGAAATCAATTAGGCGGAGGCCCAAGATTGAAATTGTTTTCGTTTTGGAAAGCCAAAGATTGTTTACAACTCGTATAAGAGCTCAATGGAATTGGGTACGTTAACTTGCATGTGTCGGTATGTATGCACATTTTTTCGATTCCATTCCCTTTGAATCTGCCCCAGTGCTCGGCTGTAAAGTCACTCGAAACTTGTTTTGAGAGAATGTCCGCTCAAACTTGCTCAAAACTGTGTACTTCGATATACATACACACGCTCATATCTGCCCAAACATATATACATACATATATATAAATTTGTATGCATGTATGTTTCTGTGCGGCTGGTCGAAGAAAGAACTCCAATCTGTTACACAATGTGTGGTCATTGTTTACATTCACTTTATATGTATGTATGCACAATCTTCTTGCATATTGCATACATACATGCGCACACATGCAGACACGAACGACAGCAAAGGCTAGCATGAATATACACACATACATATATGCATATGTACATATGTAAATAATCGTATGTAATGTATTTTTGTTACTGATAAGAATGCATTCGAGATTTATTAAAAAGTAAACACTGGACACGAACATATGTACATATCTACATGCATACAAATGTCTGTATGCATGCTTGTACATGCTTAGGTACATACATATAAAAATGTTGACGGCATAAGAAACCATCTCATTTCGCTCCCATTTCATTGAGCGCAAGAGCAAGAGCCAGAGGAAGAGCCAGAGCGGGAGAGAGAGCGCAAAAGAGACAGCTCCAGCCGTGAGTGAAGCGAACCACTTCATGAGCACAATCCTCAATTCCAATTCAAAAAATTCAATTCAATTTTCAGCTCCGATCGTGACGAATCGCGATCCCTCCGCTGTTGCAGAGTCTAACAGTAAAAATCGATTTGCCCAAGACATTTCTTTGGCTTTAGTTAGCTAGATATTTTTGTTTGTGAAGTAACAACTTGTCTTGTGCGTCCATTTTCCTCAGTTTCCCCAGTTTCCTCATTTCCCGGGACAGTGTCTCCTACCATTTGAGTGAGTTTCTTTGTGTGATTGTCATCATTCGTGATTTGTGCGCGCGCAGCATTGTTTAAGCTCACCTTCCTGTTTTTTTTTTTGTTTTTCATCCAGGAAGAAAGTCCGAAAGAAAACCCCAAAAGCTGCTCATTTTTGGCACTAATTCGGATACGACTGCAAATGCAATTTTAAATGAAAGGTAAGAGAGAAGAACTTCGTCCTGCACATACATATCTAACGATGTATGTATGTATGTACATATGTATGTGTATCTGAAATGGCAAAATAAGAATCCCCGACCAACCGGCACAGCCTCCCAAGTTCTGGTCAGAATCAGTATTCAGTATTCCATTGAAGTCAAATAAATGTATAATACATTTTATATGGTTCAAAATCATCTGCTTTATGTGCTCATCGTGGAACTATTCTTCATCTTCAGCTTTCCCACATGACTGCCAGATGTGCAGCGTCAGAATCACAGAGAGAGATGTATTTTTTGTTGTTGCTGTATTTATTCAGCTTTCAATTCGTTCCCATCGCTATGCATGTTTACTTTTGATTATGTTTTCAGCAGAATACATACATACATATGTACATGTATTTGTTTTTTTTTTTGACCGCACAAATTGTACGATTTTGACAAGGGATATTGTCAGATACATATGTTTGGAATATCATTTGGTGGTCTCAGATGTATGTACATAAATGTGCCTCCTCCCACATACCCGTACATACATGCTAGTACATATACTCGTATCCATGACTGTAGGAGCTTGGCAGTAAAGTTTTCAATTGTTTGAATTGAACTTTGAGTGGACGGAACACGAGCCACCTCCTGCACCTCCTGCACCTCCTCGACCACTACTTACTCCTATTCGTTTTCGTATTCCTATTGCTTTTAGTTTCAGACTTTGAAAGCAAGCAATGAATCTCATAGTTACATCTGCGTCCGCACTAACGGTGCTGAATTTTGTGCTGCTGGTGCTGGCGGATATCCCCTCATTGATTAATGGCGAAGAGGTCTCTGATGGCGTGCGCCTGGTGATGAAGACTCGCTCCGGCGATACGCTTGTCCGGGCGGCCCGTGGGGCACTGCCGGAGGAGACAGTCTCTCCCGCAACCAATGTGGATGGCCAGCGCATGAGAAACAACCGTAAATCGAACAGATCGCAGGATAATTTGCAACAAGCCGGCGGCCACAAGTCCAGGACGGGCCACAAGAAGCATGCGGTCGCGGAGAATGTCAGTGCAGTCGCTCAGCACCCGGCGCAGCCGAAGCACAAGCAAGGCCACAAAAATAGTGACAAGCAGCAGCGGCAGGTAATAAAGCAACAACAGCATGGACATCAGTCCCATCCAGGGGGCAAACGGCCAGGACCCAAGGCAAAGGCTTCCGAAACTGGTGAGAAATTCTTCGAGTAATCGACTGGAACCTTGAATTAAACATTTTTTTTCGCTATTTGCAGCGTCCACTTGCCGGTATGCGAAGAGCGCCTGGTCGAACTGCGATGCCAAGTCCAACATGCGCACTCGAATTCTGTCTCTGAAGAAAGGGGAGCAGAACTGCCTGCCAACACGAACCATACAGAAGAAGTGCAAGAAAGGTGGGTTAAAACCAACACTACGATTTCACACAATTTATTTGTACTTATCTCCAAGGATGTCGATATGAGAAGGGCACTTGGACACCGTGCACCGCTGGACAAATGACGCGCGAGGATAAGTTGCAGGCAGAGGGAGTCGGGGCCAGCGATCAGAACTGTGATCCAGTGCGTACCGTCAACAAAAAGTGCAAGGGAACTGGCAGCTCGCCTGAAGGAAAGCACCACGGCCCGAACCGAGCCGCAAAGGAGCGCAAACAGAAGGATAAAGGTGACTATCATCCCCAAGGTGTCGTAATAAAACTATTAATAGATCAAATGTTCCTTGCAGGCACTCCTCGTCGCACTGCACCGCAGGAGTAGAGCAGGCCTGAAGGCGTGAGGTGGAGCAACAAATTTTATAGCACTAGCATTCATAAGTGGGTTTTCTAAAAGTAAGATCGTACATTTTGTAAACAAAAACATTCAAAAACATAGTTTTCATTGAAAGCTTTTAAAAAGTTTCATTTTATTTGGCTCAAGAAACACTAGCGAGGATCTAGCGAGGATCTGCCCGGGCCCGACTTGAATTCGTATTCTTATTTGCATTGCGAGTATACCTTCCCGATCCATGGTTCCTGGCAGAGCCTCGGCCTACGCGGGATCGCGGTTCGAGACCTCCTCCAGCGCCTCCTGCACCTCCAGCACCGCCGCGTGCCAGATTCTCCAATTCGGGATTAACATTCTGGTTCGCTTCGCGAAGTATATCAATCAGAGCACGTGCGCACCTGGCGTTTTTGCGCGTGAAAAATGCATAGGACGTGCCCTTTGAGAGCTTTCTGCCCGTCCGCCCGATCCGGTGTATGTAGTCCTCCGACGACTGCGGATAGTCGAAATTAATGACATACTTAATGCCGTCCACGTCCAGGCCGCGCGCAGCTACGTCTGTGGCCACCAGGATATTCGCCCGTCCGCTTCGGAAGTCGTTCAGTACACTATCGCGGTCCATCTGGGACTTGTCGCCGTGTATCGATCCAACACTAACCCCAAATGCGTTTATGAATCTGGCCAGTTCGTCCGTTTTCTTCTTTGTGGCCACGAATATAATTATCTTGCCCGGTGCGTGCGCCTGATCGTAGATGTGCGACAGCAGGTCCTTGAGCTTAGCACTCTTCTCGTGCTCTCCGCACACCTCCACGTACTGCCGTATGTTGTGATTGGCCGACAACTCCAAGGACCCGATGTTGATCTGGCGGACAAAGTTTCGATTTGGATTCTCAGAATCTGGACTCGACTCACCTGAATGTAGCTGCCGAGAAAGTCTTCGGCCAGTTGACGCACCTCTTTAGGCCAAGTGGCGCTCCACATGAGTATCTGACGGTCCGGTCGGATCTGGCCGAGTACCTTACGGATCTGCGGCTCAAAGCCCATGTCCAACATGCGGTCGGCTTCGTCCAGTACAAGATATGTGCATCGGCGGAGATTTGTGGCTCCAGACTGCAGAAAGTCAAGCAATCGGCCCGGTGTTGCGATGATAATCTCGACTCCACGCTTCAGGTCGCTGGCCTGCTTGGACCGCGGTGCTCCTCCAAAGACACAGGTGTTGCGCACAAAGGCGCTGGAGCCAAAGTCATTGGCCACCGACTGTATCTGCTGGGCCAGTTCCCGGGTGGGAGCGAGCACCAGGGCTATGGGTCCCTCGCCGCGCTGCAACGGCTGCTGTCCATTGATATGCAGGATGGCAGGCAGAATGAAGGCGAGCGTCTTGCCAGATCCCGTCTTGGCTATGCCGACCAGATTGTGCCCTGATAGAGCTATGGGCCAGGCCTGTGCCTGGATCGGCGTGGGCTCGGAGTACCTCTGGCGCCGGATCTCGTCCATGCAGTAGTCGGGGAAGCACACTTCCTCAAAGAACTGTATGGGATTCGGAGCCTGTCCACGAATGGCGATTTGGTGCTGTCTCCGAAACAGCTCGACCTCGTGCGATGGCCGGCTCTGGGTTGTGGGATGTTCACGATAAAAGTTCTTCTCAAAAGCTGTTAGGCGCATATCCGACCACCTGGCGCTGGGAAGATCTAGTAATGTGGTAAAGTAGGTCTCTTGTAGGTCTCTATGTGTCAGTTCAGATATCATACCATTGAAATCATCATTCATTCCACCAGCACCACTGCGATTAGCTCCTCCGTTCCTGCGCCGTGGACTCCCTTTGCCATGGGACTGTCTGTGTCTTCTATCTACGCGACCCGTATGCACTACGTGTTCGAGTACGTTGTACAGAAGCATTATGCCGGTGCCTTGTGCTCTCTAAATTTTTGTAATACGAACCACTTCCGCCGCTGCGCCCAAATCCTCGATTGAAGCCGCTGCGAGGTGGCGACATAATTGGATTTTTCTCTCAACAGGGGCCAATAAAATTGGGTATTTCCAGAGCAAGCATCTTCAGTTGTATCTCAGTTGGAAATATATCTATCCGTGGTGGAATGCACTTGGACTGTGACAATTCGCATTTGTTCGATGAGATTTTGCTGGGATTATATCTCATCGATACATCGATACGCCGTTGCACTGCGCAAAAGCGAGACCCGCCATTTGTGGCATATTTAAACCCGTTTTTGAAAGCATGTCCTACGTAGGCCAACTACTAAGGTTAGGTTAGGTTAACCCGGACGGCCCTCAGCGGGGCTACGCATAGGCCAGTATGGTCCTGGCGTAGGCCATCATTTCCTGTGGCGTCCTCTTAGAGGCATCATCCAGCGATGCCAGCACCGGGGCGCCCAGGTATTTCCTCCTTGTCCTTGAGAGAGAGCCGGACAGTTGCAGATGAGATGTTCCAGGGTTTCGATTGCCCCAGGTTCATCACATTTCCTACAACTGTCTCTGTTGTTGATGCCTAGCTTTGTTGCATGTGCCGCAGCCAGACAGTGACCTGTTTATATTCCCACCAACAATCTGCAGTTCTTCCGTGGTAGGTTCAGTAGGTAGTGGCTGAGTTTCTTATTGCGTTCTTTGCACATGATTTTCGAGGTTCTGCAGGTGGTGGTACTCCTCCACCTACTTTCGGTTTGTGATCTGGCCTGCTTCTCTAGATCGTCTTGCAGCGTTCTTAGGGAGACCGGCACGTTCTCGGTTCTTATATTCGCCAGCCCTTCCTTAGCTAGTACGTCCGCCGCCTCGCTTCCTTCGATGTCTTGGTGGCTGGGATCCAGACTGACTTTGTCCAAGTCTTCTAATGAGAAAGTAAAACAAAACAGGAAGCTTTGAGTTATTGGTTGGTTCGAAATACCTCCTGTGGTCCTGTAGTATAAAGATGTATATAACAAAAACAACAGGGAGCAGCATTGATTTTGTTGTGAGTCGTAGGTATATATTTCTCCTATCCAAATATCATTCGCCAGTCGGCTGTCTGAGACAAAATTTCATTTTTCGAAAACAAGCAAAACGAAATAAACAAAATACTGCCGTTTTTTTTTTTGAAGCAGCAAAATCTTAAATTTATAATTTAAATTCAAGTACATACAATAATATCGAAGCAGTCGGTCTGGATTTTGCGAATTGCAAATGACTTTAAGGGCCATCGCGCGGCTCCACTGCAGACGAGCACGGTTTGGCCGCAGGTCGCGGCTGCTTACTTCAGGTGCGGTGCCCACCATGGTCGACGCAACGGGTTCGACTGCACAGGAAGGGGGCCAGAACCAGAGTCAGGACCAGAGCCAAAGCCAGAGCTGTAGAATCATTTTTGGTATCTCGATGGATCGACCCTCATCGCTGGTCTCTTCTGCTCATCGACGCTACTCGACCTTTGAGAAGACGCATACGGAAATTCTATCGAAACTATTTCCGCAAACCTCGATCCAGCCGCAGGATGAGGAAAGCCAGCGACGCCAGAAGCGCGAAGAGGAGGAGGAGAAGGCGGAGTTCGAGCGGGCCTGGAGGCGAATGAAGCTGGGATTGAGTGCCTTCGGCATGGGCGGCTTGCTGTTCTCGTTTTGGGCCATATATTTCTTCGGCAAGCCACCGCTCGACGAGGAGGGAAACGTGGCCGACGATGAGTTTAGCAAATTGCCGGAAATCCAACAGTATATCGGTCGAACCTGGCGGACGGTGAATAGGTTTACGCAGTTCATACAAGAGCCTTCGAGTCAGAAGCTACTGCCAGACGAACTGCTGGCGCCCTACGTGCAGCCGCCCTATACCTTGGTGCTCGAGGTCAAGGATGTCCTCATACACCCTGACTGGACATACAAGACGGGCTGGCGCTTCAAGAAGCGTCCCGGCGTGGACCTGTTCCTCAGCGAGTGTGCCAAGTACTTTGAGATCGTCATCTACACGGCGGAGCAGGGAATTACTGTGTTTCCGCTGCTCGACGCCCTCGATCCAAACGGCTACATAATGTACCGTCTAGTGCGCGACTCTACACACTTTGTGGATGGCCACCACGTTAAGAACCTGGACAATCTTAACCGCGATCTGAAGCGTGTGGTAGTCGTGGACTGGGACAAGAACTCAACGAAGCTGCATCCGAAGAACACATTCTCGATACCCCGATGGTCCGGCAACGACGACGACACGGCGTTGTTCGATCTGGTCTCGTTTCTGACTGTTCTCGGCATCAGTGAGATCGAGGACGTTCGCGAGGTGCTGCAGTACTACAGCCAGTTCAAGGATCCCGTGGCCAAGTTCCGTGAAAACCAGCAAAAACTCAGCGAGAAAATGATGGCCGAAGAGTTGAAAAAGTCCAGCAAGCCGCAGCCGATGGTCCGAAACTGGACGCGTCGTTTTTTCAATAGTTAAAGATAATTGATTTTTAAATTCCTGTTGCTTTGTTGTTAATAATAATTAATGAACCATTTCAGCTCGTTTTAGATGGATCTTTTCCGTAGCACCCTTTCAGGCAAGAGCACAAAAAGCAGTACAGAGAACCGCTACTCGCTGCTTGGTTGCTTCTCGCTACGCTGCATCCCTTTTTCTCATCGTTCGTCACCGGCGAGAGCTGAGAGGGCGGCTCGGCTTCATAGCACTGCAAATCGAAATATAACATTCAAGTGCTTCATTGAAACCTTTTTTGTTGTGATTGATCGCTGCTGAAGAAGCTCATTAGCTCAAAAGACATAGAGATGCGATTAAAATTATGTATGGCCGTCTGAGCTTCAGTAAGAGCTTTGATGTGTGGTCACGGGTTAGTGGACTGTATTATTTTTAATATTGGTTTGATGCATATTACAGTGGTTATTTAATGTTGATGGTTGTATGTCGATGATGCGGCGGTACAGTGAACTTTACGTGCGGTGGGTTTCAACTAGCATTTTAAACAAACTCCAGCACTCCGCGGGAACAAGTGGAGCAAAACGGAATTGAAAGATCACGCGATGCGGTGGTCCCAATCATGATGAAAAGCACCCGCAACGTGCTCTGTCTTCGGGTGTTATTTCGTTCCTCGCTCTCTCTCTCATCAAGTATGACTTCAAAGCGCTCGCAGCAGTGCTGAGCGTGAAATAAGACCCGAAAGAGAGTAAGCGGACCACCCTGTATAATTTCAACATGGTCCGAAGGAAAAAACGGAAGATAGCGTTACAGCGTTACATAATCAACAACAACAAAACTAATGTGTTTCAGCAGGAATGTACAATAATGGGCATATGAACAGAGAGTTATACAAAACTCAAATAAGCGGATAATTTCCCAACAATTTGTAAGAGAGTCCTTCGCATTGGCGAGTCCTTCCTGGCGATGGCATGGCTGTATGTACATGTTTTTCTGCGATGCTTGTAGATGGATGTATCGTACGCCCCTTAAAGCAGGCTACACAAAACCTTGCTTTGGCGTATCCGGATTGTGTCTGTGTCTGTGTCCGTGTCCGTGTTTGTGCCTATCTGCTTGTGACAGTGACAGATTTCCGTACATATGCGTACGTGTCTGCGATATGTTCAAGTTTCGGCAGCAATTTCCAAATGTTCCTTGAACTTGGAGTTGGCCTCCGAGCAACACGTAGATTGCTGTTGCTGGCATCAAAGCTGCTGACAGCTTGTCTCTTGTTTAGTGACAATCGCGGATACACAGTTGTAGCCGTTGGATGGTGGATGGGGAGGGGGTGGGGAATGTATATGTAGAATACAGGAGACACCAGGCGTATTCAGCCAGCAACATGTTGCCGCCCAGTGACTAGTGATTGTGTGCGTGAACACGTGCCAAAACAAGTGAAACGCTTGCCACACAGATGCATCAACACATACACATATACACACTCGTATGTATGCATGTGTGTGTTTTTTCCACAATCAACAACAAACCTGCAGGCAGCTACACCATTGGGTGAGTCCTGCGCAGTGCCACGTGGAGGGGAGGGGCACATCAAGCAACAACTGTAAGGATTTGATGCCCAAATGTTGCCAAAAATAAATCTGTGTGCAGACCGGCCTTGCGGCTATTGTTGCCAACCGGGATGACCGGTGCGAAAGGCCTTTCGGGGCTCCCTGGCCATCACGGACACTTCTAGGACCTTGGCTGGCGGAGTGACATCTGCATATTGGCATTTGCGTGGAGCCTCAACAAGTACGGCCTATTAGAGGCTACACGGCAGTGCAGCGCTGCTGTGCCATAGGTGGCACAAAATAGCAGCGGATGTGCGTGGAAACGTCAAAAGCAGGCAGGGCCAAACGCATGCGTGGGGTGCACGTTGCCACGTTTTGCGACACGCTCGCCCCCGAGCCATGCAAACGTCAAGAGGCACATGATGCTGAGCATCCTCGTGAGTCCGTTGCAAGTGGGGTGGCAGGGCCAAGCGACATCAACATTCTCACTTCTCACTTCTCAGTTCTCACTTGCGAAGTGAAGCTCCCTGGCATCGGGAGCGCGGACCAATTCAGTTTTCGGTTTTGACGTAACGGACGGCAGCGTTTGTGGGTCGTGTGGGGCGGGCCTTGCGGATGTGCGGAAGGAGCGCCACGGACGGACACCACGGAGCGCAAAAAGGCACACAGCGAGGATACTACAAAACGCATGACAGTGTGTGTGTACATTCAGATATATATATACGTACGATTGTGTATCAGTAGCAAAATAAGAAAAATATATATCAAAATATCTGATGGATGTTGGCCCAGGGCTCAGGCAATAAGTAGATCCCAGCTCTTATTATGATTTTTGCATCTTGTATCTTGTATCTTGCATCTTGTGTCCAGGGATATGTTCAGTGCTCTTAAATATAGAAACAAGTCCCACCCAACGCGAAACACTTTCCCCCCAAAAGGTTTAATCAGGTGCGGGGCCTCATGGCTCCGCTCCAGGGCCTGCCGTAGAACGCATCCTGCCACTGCCACACCCTAAAAATCAGCTCGAAACGAAATGGGGGACAACAATGCCCGTCATAGAATTAGGGAAGTGTTCCCGGAGAGTAGGCAAATATGGTATTCCATAGAATAGGCAGGGCCATTATTGAAAACTTGTGGGCTGTGTATAGGGCTAAGACTTATGGCCATATTGTCATCGCTTATTGCAGCTACTCCCACTCCACCGTTCCGCGCGTAGTCCTTGACCAAGTATGACAACCGAGACCTATCTGGACCTGACCTACGAGCGCGGCAAGGGCTCGAAGAGACCGCCCAGACCAAAGCTGCTGAAGCTGACGGATGTCACAATACCGCATCGCAGCCGCAAGAAAAGCAAAGTCAAGGTGAGTCTTGGGGCAGTCGTGTTTGCGGCACGGTTCCTTACCATTTGGCATATCGTTGGCAGACAAAGGACCGCTCGGCCACTCTAGTGCGGGAGCGAATCTACGATGACCCCGCCTACACCGAGGACATCAGCCACCTGGCCAATCCCATGCGGCGTGGCAGCGTGCCCGGCAAGCACTCCGCCGAGCAGTCGAAGGCAAAGTCCGACGTCGCCGGGCAGTCAGCATCGGGCAGCGGTCTGCTGAGCAAGCACCAGCTGACCAAGGAGCTCCACCAGTATGTTTCGGGCAAGCAGGGCAAGTACAAGGGCTCCAACAGCGCCAGCAGCGGGCCCTCAGGGAGTGCCGCTGTCAGCGCCAGCTACGACTGTGGCGGCTCCAGCAGCTCCGACAACGAGACGCTGGAGCCGATGACCAAGGCCAGCAGCATGACTCGGCGCGTACGCAGCCTGGAGCGAAGCCTGGCCACGGAGAGAAGCGACAAGAAGGCGACGCAGAAGCGCAACTCCAAGCAGAAGCGGAACCTCAGTCTCGACAACAGTCGACACCTGCTTTCGGGACATGCCCAGCATGGGCCAGGGGCAGGGGCAGGGGCCGGTGGCAAGCCCAGCAGGAAGAAGTATCCGGAAGGCGGGCCGGATGCCGCCCAGACGGAGGCCAGCGAGCTGGACGCAGACGTGTACTCCGTGCGGAGCTCAGTGCAGGATTCGGCGGCCACAGTACCTACGGCGGAGACGGCTGCCGAGACAGCGGCGAAGGTGGCCATCGGCAAACGCTTCCTGCGCGGCGAGATCGGTATCAAAAGCTTTAACTACTATCTGCTGAAGGAGGGCCTCAAGAGCTCCAAGAAGATGGTGGGGAAGCAGCGCGGCAGCACGTTGCACAGCGAGGAGGCGGATCTGGCCTCTGCCAGATCCGAGAAAATGCACTCCCGCAGCGAGGAGAACATCTATGAGGAGATCTTCTTCCAGGACACACCCAGCGCCGTACCCCCTTCAACGACAGCATTGGTCGCACCTCCACAACCCCCGGACAAGGAGCCGCATCACAGCCATCCCCAGCAGCCCCACAAGGGGGCGGCACCGGGGGCGCCTCACGCCCTGATTGGGCCCAGCGAGGGCAGTGCCGTGGGGGTCTTTGCCGACTGTGAGCTCTGCATGGAGCAGTGCAGCAAGGACAGCTGTGGGTACTGTTTGGCCCAGGCAGTGCAAGGGGTGCGGAAGAAGCAGCAGCAGCAGCAGCAGCAGGGGCAGGGGCAGGGGTACCACGAGGAAACCAGCGATCCACGGGGCACAGCCCCGGTCGGGCTGCCCGCCGCCCACATCCTGGAGTTCCAGTCGTACAACCCCAACAATCCGGGCGTGTACAAAATCGAAACGACACCTGTGGCCATCACGGGAGACTACAATCCGATACTGCAGTTCCAGCAATCGTCGGCCACCACATCGACCTCGACAACAACAACACCCAGCGACCAGCAGCACCAGCAGCAGCAGCAGCAGCAGCAGCAGCAGCAGCAGCAACCGATCTACGGCGGATACTACCACCCACAGGCGCACCAGAAGCCCTACCATGCAGCCATCGTTGGCAATCCGCTGGCCAGCCAGTATGCCGTGGGCGGCAGTCTTCTTCTGGCGACGGCCCACGGCCGCCCACAGCAACAGCAGCAGCAGCAGCAGCAGCAACAGCAGCAGCAGCAGCACTATATCGTCAGTTATCAGAATGGAGGGTCCGTCGCCGGAGGAGCCTCCCTGCAACGCTTGAACACGAAATCCTCCTCCTCGAGCGACTCCCTGCCCCACCATAAGTACAACACAATGACGCGGCTGGAGGGGAACGTGTTTGCCGCGCCCACCACAGGGGACCTGTACTACGCAGTCGGCGGGACGGCCCCCCTGCACCCTCTGATGTATGCGGCCAGTCGGCCGATCGGCGGCTCCCAGATACTGATCGACCCCTACGACCCGCCGCAGATGTACAAAAGCGACTCGAAGGCCTCCATCCTGAGCGAGTTCTCGCTCCGCAGCAGCGACAACTCGCAGCGCTACGCGCGCTACGGCGGGGGCCACCGGCGGCATGGCGCCGGCCGCGTCAGCGACTCCAGCCTCTTTTCGGTGTACTCCAACTCCGGCCAGAGGCGGTACTTCGGCAGCTCGGAGAGCCGCTTCGGATACGATTGCCGGCGCTGCAGTCTGGACGGCATCATTGGCATGGGCTCGGCCATGGGGGGAATGGGCGGTATGGGGGCCATGGGGGCTGCTGCGGCCCCCTCCGACAAGTGCAGCTACTCGGACAACTGTCGCTACGAGTGCAGGAACTGCGACTGTTCCTCCAATTACTTCAGCTCCGATTTCGACGACTTGTACGGGTCCATGGCTCGTGGCGGGAGCAGCGGCATACCACGCAAGACTGCGGCAGGGACGCTGCCCTCCAGTTCGCAGGACGACAGCGCGGATCTGAAGGAGAAGCCCCCGCCGCCGCCGTTCCTGCAGCAGCAGCAGTTCTCTGCCCCGCAGGACCTCAAGCAGAACAAATACGCGCAGGACTTCTTCAAGCACGTGAACGACGTGAAGCGCAGCATTTACCAGTCGGAAATGCAGAGGAACAACAGTCTGGAGTCCTCCAGACGAGGACCCAGGACCGGCGGCAGCACTACCAACACTATCAGGTCGAGCCCCAAGCGCGCTGCCTCCCAGGAGCCCAGCCAGGAGCCCGTCGTGACCACGCTGCCCTTGAGCAGGGGTCGTCCGGCCGCAGGAGCCAGGCCCACGCCGGCGCCCCGGACCAGTCTACAGTCGCAGTCCGTACTGCCGCCCACGTCCACGCCCAGTGAGTGTCACGCAAATATATTTTCCAGCCCTGATTCCGAGGTTCTAATAATCTAATCCATTTCATTCGCCAGGAGACCCGACACCAACGAAGCGCAAGCCCCCATCCAGTGGCCGGCGGGAGTATCCTTCGCTGGACCGACTCGTGGCATCCAGCACGGGAACGATACCCAAGAGACACGGCCGGACAACGGCGGGCACGGACTCCCTGAGCCCGAAGCTTACGTCCAAGTCGGTGGACTCCGAGCCCAAGGACTCGAGGGCGGGGAACGCGGGCGAAGAACAGTTTACGCCGGGCAAGAGGCATCATCGGACGGGCGGCACAAAGTCCCATCAGAACGTGCCTGGTCCCAGCACCCGGCGAAAGGACATCCCAGCCCCCCCTCCACCATCCCCGGCCACCTACTCCGACCTGCAGGAGCTGAAGGCGAACATGGAGGGTCTGCAAGACGACACCAAGTCCCGGAGTCTCGAGAGTGAGACGAACGAATCGCCAGCGTTGGCCAAGCCCAACGTTGTCACGGGACCCCAAAACGACAAGAACCCAGTGACAAGGCAGGCGGGGGCACCGGTGGCATCGCTGCCATCGGTGGCTCCCTTGAAAATCACAATCGCTCTGACGGATATGGACATGCAAGCGGAATCTTCCAACGGAAGTCCACCATCGGTATCGGCATCAGCATCGGCATCGGTATCGGCATCGGTATCGGGTATCGGTGCAGTGGACCAGGACGATAACGATGTGTTTTACGATGCACGCAGCGAGAACTCCGGCGCGGGTTGCCTACCCACTGAGCCCCAAACTAAGGTGAGAATCTTTAATTATTTTTTTGTGATGGATACATCCAATGAAGGGTAGTGCCACTGTCTACCCGTACATATGTCGAATGTACGAATGGCGAAAATCGGGATGAACAAGATTTTAATTAAATGATATTCCTGTAGGGCGCGTCCGGTACGGTGGCAGCCGCCGAGAACAGCAAGGAAACAATTTACGGCAAAATGGAACACTCGACCAAGGATGTCAATACCTTGTCCCGCACTGACCCCGTCGCAGGGGGCCCCGGACAGGCGGCGAACATCTCGGGCACACCGGAAGGGAACGACATTGGTGTTGCCAGCAGCAGCGACGGGGTGGGCACACCCTGCCATGTTGCCAGCCAAGTGGGCCTGGACACATGCCTATGCGAGTCCGAGCTGGCAGACGCTGCACTAAGGGGGGGAGGGAGGGGCGAGGAAACGACAAGCAAAACAAGACACGACGAAAACACACCGACGAGCGCCAACGACCAACATGCTGCCGCAACATGTTTGCAGGGGAAGCAGACCAGTTTGCCAGCAACAACAATTGGCGACGGCACTTCAACAATCACCAACGCTGGAAACATCAGCCCCAGCGAGGCCCCAGCCAGCACCAGCGCCAACACCACCGATGTGGATGTGGATGTGGATGTGGATGCCGATGCCGATGCCGACGCCGATGTCGATGTCGAGTTCAGTTGCAAGACGGGCAACACGGACAGCGCAACGCTAACGCACAGGTACGCGACTCCGCTCCGCTCCGCCTCTGTTTCTCTTTCTGTTTCTGCTTCTGTTGCCCGCAACCGAAAATGTATAGCCCGCACTTGGATTAACCAAGAACTTGAACTTTATCCCCACGTAGGTGTTGGGCAGAGACTATGCCACGCATAAATCGGCAGCCACAAACAACACTTGTTGTTCCGCTAGTGTTTCCCATTCGAGTGCCGTGTTCCACGCCCCCCCGCCCCCCGCCAAATCCCCCTTTTCCGAAGCTCTGAAGCAACATTTGACCACCAGTGCAGTGCAGTACAAAAGTAAAAGTGAGGGCAATGCCAATCGCAATTGATCAATAACTTTGCCAAGTGCTCTAATTAGACTGTGCTTTTATTTACCTTCGACGAGAGTGAAATTATATGCGCAGCAGCTGTTGAGAGTCCCTCATTGCGCCGCATCCTGCATTACACGCACCTTGTGCCCCTGTACCCCTGTCCCCCCTATCCCACCCGCTGTCCGCTATCCGCTGTCCCCCATCGAAACTTTGTTTTCAAAGCTGGGGAGCAGGTGATACTGCAAGGCCGCATACTGTCGCTTGTTCGCACGCAAAAATCCTGATTTAGCAGCGGCGTATGGCCATCCGGATAAAGTTTTTCCGAGCCACGGGCCAAAGGTCCAGTGAGCTGCAAGAAGGTTGCCAAGGCTCCTTCTATACCCGATGCTCAAAAGGAGTTTGGAGGTGTATTGGATCAGATCTGTCCGTCCGTCCCGACGAGCGCCTAGATCTCAGAGACTACAAGACTTCAATCCAGACTCCTGTGATTTCACTCTGTAACAAGTGTGGCCCCTTTGTGGCAATCAGAAGGAACAAATGAAATATCAGTGGCCCTCTCTCTCTCACACACTCTTCCCCGTGCAGTGTGCGCCCTCTGGGGGGTAAAAGTGTCGCGCCGCGGCCCTTGCCGCCGCCCGCAACGCTCATACTCGTTTATGTGATTGCCTTTGTTTTTTTTTGGTGTTTTTTTTTTGCCACGGTAAGATGGCTGGTCGTGATCCCATTTCGTGAATAATTTGCCGCGGGGACTGGGGACAGTCTTAAGATGTGGCCTTAAAATATGAGAATACTGTGGAGCACTGTAATGTTTACAGCCAAAGGTAAACTAGAGATAAGGCAAATTACAGAGATGTGAATCGATCAACTACCGATCGATACTCGCGTACAGAACCAGTCACGGGAAAGACCCCTGTCCTCATTCGAATTGCTCAACGATCAGTGAGGTCAAGGCTAGGGGGAAAACTAAAACATGGTCTAAGAGTGGAATCGAAAGTGGAAAATGTGGATTCAGTGTGTCGAATCGGTCTAGTCCAGATATATATTAAGTTGGAGTAGACGCTCAGAAAAGTAGGCAAGCTTTTTATTTGAGCAGGATGCTTCAGGATACTTCTTGGAATTGCGTGAACCTTCCGCACTTGGAGGTTTGTCCGAGGTCAGTTCTCTTGACACTAGATCTGGCGGTTGTGGGGCTCAAAGGTCGCGATCGTAGGCCCACGTGTGTGCCGCGACACATGGGCATACATTTCATTCCATTCCATTCCATTACATTTATTTGATTGCATTAATTTGATGCTTGTTTGTGGCAGACCGACTGCGGACGGGGGGTCCCCCTTTTCTGTCTTCAATAAAATTTTGGCCAATCAATATTTTTGCGGAAAAAGCTTCGCATACCCGTACCCGTACACAAGCACCAACACAGGCACAAACACCAACACAAACACAAACAAAGCGCACAATACAAGAGAGCTCCCAGCCATACATAAATCAATTTTGTCTTTTGTTTCGTTTTTCTGTGTATTCTGGGTATTCAATCATTTACCTACACATATACTTATGTGTACGCCCCACCGCCCCCTCCCTCCCCCCCCACACATGTGCAGGATACACGCATACAAACACGCATAGAGCCGCCGCACTTAAACGGAATTGTTTGCGGCTTGTGCCGTGCCCCGCGAACCCCGTGGACCCCTTGGACCCCGTGGACCCCTTGGACCCCGGGAACACGCAAAATTCGAGTATAATCATTTCCATGTCGTCCGTGTTTCACTTGTTCTTGTCGCATCAGTTACAAAACATTTGCTAAATACATAAGGAATTTTTCACGTGCCCGCCCCTTCCCCCCACCCCACCCCGCACCCCCCTTCTATTTTGGGCTCCAAGCATACACTGGACGAAATACAATTAAATATTGAGTGAAATTAAATATAATTCACTTTGAAATATGTAAATATAGATTATTGGATTTGTTTGGAGTTTATTATGAATTCCGCTCGCGGCCTTCAATACCATTTCAGGCCTTTTTTTTCGATGGGCGCACAGAGGCTGCCCAATTTCCAATTAAATTCGAGTACATGTGTATTTAAGGCTAATTGAAAACAAGTTCAACTTGCAAAAGCCCAAAAAGCAGAGTTCCGTCAAGTGAGAAAATCAAACCAGGGCCAACGACAATTCGGAAACCGTCAAGATGCAAGAGCCAAGAGCCAAGAGCTCTGCTCCTATTGAAAAATTTCGGTTGGGTATTTTGTGAAGTCGCGGACGACCTTCAAAACCTTCAAGCCATCGCCGCAGAAAATCCATATACTATAAAATATGTTTGTTGGCATTTTGCAATTGAACTGTTACAAATTGCATACGAGTTCGAGTACCATTCGATGGTTCGATGATCATAATGAGCTTCTGGCCAGGCCCGGCTCGGCTCGGCTCGGCCCGGCCTGCCCTGGCCACTTACAAATATGGTATAGAAAATGTGAAACTTGTTTCCTACGGTTGTAACTTCATTTGGTCATTGGCTTGCAGTCAATGCCGTTGCCGTTGCTGTTGCTGTTGCTGTTGCATTGGCCAGCTTACAGCGAGCGAGCGGAGTTACCACATCGCACACAAGACGGCATAGAAGAAGCAGCTTCTGAGCTAGTAAAATGACTAGTCGCCGTCGAAAGTGCAAGTCGACTAACTGGTGTATGCAAGTAAATGCAATCGATTTACTAATACCACGTCCACGTCCACGTCCCTCGTCCACGTCCCTCGTCCCTGCTAAAGACAACAAGTGCGGCTTTGAAAGATTGCTGAAACCAGTTTCAGCTCTGAAGCTCTGCATGCCTCAGACGGGTGCAAGCGCAGTGTTTGGAGGAGTTTATTTGTGGCTTTATTTACGATATCCAAACCGGCAACAGGCCATGCCATGCCATGCCATGCCATGCCGCTCAACAAATAGTGAGAGAAAACCTCGGTACTACTAAACGATTTGATATTCCAATCAATAGACCCTTTTTGTACACTTCTACATCGAATGGGGTGGTGGGGGGGTTCTGGATCAACCGTTTTGATTAGCAGCCCCCCCACTTAATGGGTTCCTGGCGCTTTCTTTTGTTTTCTCCACTGGCAATAGTTTAACGGCACTTTTCGTACGCTTTTAATCACGCTAAAAGGAATGCGCAAGCTTTCACTGGACACTCGAACAGCTGTGCGGCAGCAAGGAGTGGAGATACTTTCAAAATTAACTGATGGACACACGAAACACACTCACTTTGATGGGAAAAACGTTAAGACACAGGCCTTCCGCCAATCACCTAGAATGGATTCGCATAAAACTTAAACTTTACAACAAATTGGATTGAATGCCGATGCCGATGCCGATGAACATACACAGCACACAGAGGCACACACAAGTTGCAGAAAATCTGCATTTTATCTGGCGTTTATCTGGCTGATCGAGTTTTAATTACCAAATGATGAAAGTATGGTGATTAAAGTAATTGCAAATTAAAGATACACACACACGCACACGCACAGGCACACGCACAGGCACAGGCACAGGCACAGGTGCCTCTATGCATACTTAATGGCGAGTGCACACAGAGAGACGCCAAAGCTGCCGCAAATACAAATACAAATACAAGCACAAAACTCGTCTTGAAACGCGTTTATGAGTGAAGATGTAATTAGCGTCCCACTTGACACACACACACACACGCACACACACTCGTACGCCTGATTTGCGGACATACATTCACTCTCGTGCACTCACTTCCTGTTTACTGCCAGAGCCGGCAATATCCTTTCACTTACACATAAACAAAAACAAAAACAAAAGCAATAACAATTAATTCTGTGTGTAAGGATGCCGCAAAAGCCGAGGTTTTGGTACGTACAGTACCCACCCACCCACGACAGATGGAATGCGTCAGGCGAATACTGTGGCCTATTACCTTTTAAAGTCTAGGTTTCTTTATAGCTGATACAGATGTGATGGTAGCCCTTTAAAAAGCACAGAGAAACCAGAGAAACCACAAATTGGGCTAAAAGTTATAACGCCTACACGTGCGGCAGAAAGAGGCAACGAACCGAATAGCCATGCCATATTTTTTGTTGCCCGTTTTTGGAGTGACAAGTTTTGATGATTAGATTCGGCATTAGATGCCATAAACGGCAATGCTGGGCTGAAGATGTACTGGCTCTGGTGATGGTGGTGGTGGTTGGGGTGCCTTTTAAGATGTCGCATCTTTTTCTTTTCTTCTTATTTTATTCTCGCCGGTTAGACGTCTGAGCCACTTGGAAATTCAAACACAACATCAAAGATACACATGTACGTTCTCACCCATGAAAGGCGGGGGGTGGGGGGTAGCGGAGCGGAGCTCGAGGAATATGTACATTTATTGACAAGACAAGGGCCCAAGAGCGCAAGAGGTGAAGACGCTCCCGGAAATGTCACTTTGAGACTGCTCGGAAAAAGAGTTCGCATCCAGACACACGCTGCCTGTCCCCCTTTTGTGCCCCTGCGGGTACTGAACTGTCATTGACACTTCCCTCCCCCTAGATACACATATTGGTCAGACCCGTTAGCCCAATTCGAAGTCAAGCAGTGCCGGGCTTATCGTCAGCGCTAAACACCACCCACTTGCACTCTGTAATCGAAGCAAAAATGTATAGAAACATGTGTATGTAGCTTTCTTGTTCTCCAGCACCACGCGCTGTTGCTTGAACTGGTTTAGCCACATTTCCTCCGCCCACACGTCGCTTACGCATTGCATTGCCCACACAACAAATGGAACGGAATATTTTCTTTGGCAGCAACTTTTGTGGGTCCAGGGTCAAGGTTGGAGACGTGTAGTAAAATCTTTAGCTGCTGGTACTTGCAATAATTTTCGCAGCACATCTGAATGTTGCAGAGCCGCAGGGGCGGTCACATATGCGGCTACATTTGGTGTGCCCACTCTCAGCCCTCGAAAGCTTCATTGTTGCTGGGGGGGTGGGGGCAGCAGCAACAAGGCAAAGCACTTACAGCGGGTGAAACTGCATAAGTGCTGTCGCTGCCGCTGCCGCTGCAAGCGTTTACGGGTGCATGCACATGTGTGCATGCATGTGTGTGTCAACGAGTGGAAGCGAGTGCTGAATCATGTTCCCGGACATTGAACCGGTGCCCCGGCCATCGCGGCCATCCCGGCCATTAGGACTGACAGGCTTCAAATATTAGGCTTCCACATTAGCTTTTGATGCGAAACCCAAATATTTAAAACATGGCAGGACTACAGCTGGGTTTTGAATTTCTTGCAGCGATCGGACCCTCGATATACCTGTACTTGTGACAGCCGCAGAGATTCCGGCACAGTCGCGACTACTGACGCGCCAGGACTACGCCTGCCTCGACTCCAGTGAGGCACAATCGGACGATAGTCACCTGACCCGCGATTCCGTGACGCGCGAGTCCCAGAACGATGAACTCTCCTCGTCGACCCTCGAGAAACTAGACGTCAGCACCCTACCACTGCCCGCCCTGCCGAAGCGCCGTCGGCCCCGCTCCCGTGCCAGTCCCTCGAAGAACTTGCAGCATCGGCAGCGTCATGAAGACATCGACAACGCCAATGCAGTCGACACATCGCCAGCATCGTGCCAGCAACAGCCACACGCTAAGCCAAGACAGCGCGCCGACCCACCAGAGACACAAAAGTCAGAGATAAGCGCGCCAAAAAACCACGCAGCCGCTCAAAAGCAAAAGCAAAAGCAGCAACAGCCACAGCCCCAGTCGCAGCACCTCTCCGCCTTCCAGCAGTACGTCGCAAAGCGGCGCGAAAGTCTCGAGGCGTCCAACCGCAGCTTCAACGAGAAGCTGGAGGCCCGCAGAATGCACTATCGCGTGGGCGGGGGAAGTGCCGCCAATGTGACGACTGGCGCCAGCAGCGGAGTGCCCACCTATCTGTTCGGGGAGCACTATGAGGCGGGGGGCGGCCCCGGCCCCGGCTCCGGCTCCGGGCGCAAGTCCCTCTCGCCCGCCGCCAACAAGGAGGAAATCTACCTAAACAAGTCCGGCTGGGTGCAAGTGAACACGAAGCGTGGCGGCTTCAAGGAGGACTGTGGTGGCGGCTATCGACGTCAGCAGAACGGCGGCCCGGCCTCTGTCCTGCAGGACAACGGCAGGAGTCGAGCGACCGCACGCGCGATTCCCATGGACGCGCACGGACGTCGCTCAGATCTGGCTCGCTATTCGTTTATATACCAGCACCAGCAGCACCAGCAGCACCAGCAGCAGCAATCGAACATGGGCATCGCGGAGCCCAAGTTCGTGGGGTCCAAAGTGGAGGAGCTGATACAGCGGAACGAGGCGCGGCTTGGCGGGTTCTCCTCACGGGATCCCGCCCTGCGTCCGGGCTACCGAATCATCGATCCCCAGCTGGCGAGCATCCTCAATGAGCGGCCGGGCTTCCTGCCTGTGAAGAGCCCCAACGACTTGGACTCGCCCATCACGCCCATCCTGTCGCCGCCTCCCGCTTTCCAGGACAACAGCCGAAGCACGCGCCAGGTGGACCGCCGCAAGTCGAGTCGCCAGCAGGCGCCCATCCCACTGCCGGTGCCCCTGCAGTCCGGCGAAGCGCAGCTCAGTCCGCAGCACCTGGCCAACGGGTCCGTCAAGGGCATGGTCTTCTCCCGCAGCTTCGAGTACGACACGCGACGACCCACGCCCACCAACAGCTACGTGGAGACGTTCTCCCGCAGCTTCGACGGCAACCTGTCGGAGCGTCCGCTGCACCTGGGCATGCCGCCACTGGCAGGACAGCGCGAGCGCTCCCCGAACTTCAGCACGCTGACCGGCAACTCGCCCAACTACCTGACGAAGCGGGAGAGCGGTGGCGGCAGCAGTGGCTCCCTTCGCAGTCGCGACAGCTCGCCCAAGTTCCTGAGTCCCCAGACGACCACCGCCTATCTGAACACGTCGGTGAAGGAGGCGCCGCCGGCCTACAGCATGGCCACAGGTGGGGGCGGCACGCAGGCCAAGTACTCACCGCGCTCGCGTCACGAGCGGACCTCGGAGCGATCCAAGAGCCATGCCCTGGGGCGCTCGCGCAAGTCCCAGTTCAACCGCATGGGCAGCGCAGGACCTCCGGCAGCGCCGCCCTCCTCCCTGGGCATGGGCATGGGCATGGGAGTCTCCCGCTTTCGCAGCTTCGACACAACAAAGAGCCAGCGCCTGAACTCCTGCGACAGCGGTGCGCGATCGGGTGAGTACCTCCCAAATCTATTTCCCCCTTAGCATCTGGCAATCTGGGGTTCAATCTCCGTCTTGACGTCTCGCCAGATCTTTCCAACGACGAGCTGGACAACGAGGACGGGGGCCTGAGCGAGTTCCTGTCGGCCGGCAGCCAAAAGTTCCCGAAACCCTGCTCGAGCAGCGTCAGTATCTCGCCGTTCAAGATGCAGCGCCAGCGCTCACTCACGCCGGACCGGAACGAGTCGCACAGCTCGTCGAGCAGCCTGCGCAAACAGCGATCGCTGACCCCAGAGTCGCGATCCCTGACGCCCGAGGAGCGACGCAAGAAGGGCTCCCAGCTGTCGCTGTTGGGCTCACGCCAGAACTCCGGTTGCTCCGGATCCAGGAGCAACACGTTGGAGGCACGGCAACGCCACGAGGACAAGACGCCGCCCAACATCTCCCGCAGCTCTTCCAGCTCCAGCTACAGTGGCGGAGAGCCGCATGACCGCCTCATGGCCGCCGGCACCAGTTCGACAGTGGCCCCCGGACCGGGGTCCGGATCCACCAGCCATCGCCGGGCCATGGCCGCCGCCCACAGTGCCGCCAAGCAGGCGGAGCACGAGCACCGCATCAGACGGTCGAGGTGAGTGGTAGCGAATCCTGTAGCGAATCCTGTAGTGCTTCGGAGAGTACAACGAGGCCGTCCAACGCCCAAACCTATCCTTGCAGGTCCCTGCAACTGAGCGAGCGCTCCCCGAATCGAGCGCACAAGTCAATCGTCAACGTGGGTGCCGGGTCCGCCCAGCAGCCGCAGCAGCAGCCGCCACAACAGCCGCCAGGGTCCTCCTATCAGCAATCCCGGGTCAGTCTGGGGGTCAGTGGCGTCTTTCCGCCCACCATTCGCACGTCCCCGGCCAGCAACAAAATACTGGCCCCCTCGGCAGGGTCGTCCGGCAGTGCGACGAGGCCGCGGCAGAACGAGACGGACAAGGCGCGGTCCTTCGACTTTGATTACAACAACTTCAACCGCAGCGGCGGCGCTAAGGCCAAGCCCCCGCGATCCACTCACACGAGCGGCAGTGGGGGCGACAGCGGAAGCAACCAGAACCTGCGCATAGAGCGGGAGACGCGCTCCTTCGACGAGGACTATCGCGAGGCAGTGCTCAACAACAACAACGGGAGCAGTGGCAGCGTCAGCGTCAGCGGGCTGCGTTACCTGCAGCCTGCGGCCGAGGCCGCCCTTGTGCCGGTCGTCTCCGCCTCGACGTCCCGCCTGCGGCAGTCGAATTCCCCCGTGAACGCCTCCGGCATCGAGTACGCTGCCTCGCGATCGCCCCAGTCCTCGGGCTCCTCGTCGAATGCCCTGCACCAGCCGCAGCGAAAAACAGGCAGCCCCCAGAGCTACGGAACGCGGCTCTGCGACCATGAGCTCACGTACGAGATGCTCCGCAAGTCGCCGATCATGAACTTCCGCCGCGGAGACAGCAGTGACTACGAGCTGCCCGTCCTGCTCCGGAACAGGGAGACCATCAACTCCGGCGGCAACAGCGAGCTGAACTTCATGAGCAACGAGACGCGGATCTACGAGCACCCGACGACGGTGCTGAAGTCGCAGCGCTCCCTCCGCCAGAGCCCGGGATCGCGGGACGACATACCACTGGAGGTGGCCGTGGGCGTGGGGGGCGACTACATATACAGGCAGGCGCCCGCCCAGCCGCGCAGCAGCAGGTACTAAGGCGCCTGAGGAGCTCCGCTCAGCTCAGACGCCCCAGCAGCACTCATAACCTACTAGCCACGAACTCCCCGCTAACTCTATTTATAACCAAAATTTCGAAACTAAGAAGCACCAAGGCCGTACCTCGTGGCCCCCAAACGACGTACGATACAAGTATCCCTCTGCACGAACAGCGCCCAAGTCTGTGTGTTTGTGTGTTAAAAGACTGCTTGTCCTTACTAACTGATCTCCTCCGGGCGAGTACTAACTGAATTTATCTACTTTTGGTGGTGGCAGCCTCTATTCTAAGCCCCAAGGGAACTACAGAAACTAACATTAAGAGAGTAAGAGAGAGAGAGAGAGAGGATAAGATAGACCCAATAATCAATCATAGATCGTCTGCACTAACCCGGAACGAGGGCCACTTCCGCATCTCCTTCATGAGGAAGGACCGAACCTGGCTGTGTCTGGGATTTGCGTAACTCTGTTACATGTTTTCCAGCGCCACCTCCCAGCCGCAGTCCCAGTCCCAGTCCCAGACGACTACCAAGAGCTGTAGCAAAACGCTAAACACCTGCGACTATTGGCCACGTTGCGGGGCTTGTCAGGAGAAAGCCGCGCCCGCGGCCATCAGGCGACAGTATTCCCTGCCAGCGGTCTCGACCATGGACCAGGAGCAGGAGCAGCCCCACGTCACCACCGTGGCGGTTAATGACAATGTGGCCAGCGTCCGCCAATCGTCGTCCATTCCGCAATGGACTCTCCTGTGCAGCGGCGTGGCCCACTGCCGTCCGCAGGAGCTGGCAGAGAATGAGCGCCGACAGCTGATGGCTGTTGTGCGACCCCGGGTCGTGCCCTTGGCCCCCACATCACTCGTCCTGCTGGGCGAGGGCGACCTCTACAAAAAGGCCTGTCCACAGGTCCTGGCTGAGGCGGAGGCGGAAGCGGAGACGGAGACGGAGCTGGGGCTAAGGTGAGTGTTTCTTTTTCCTTTTAATTTTGTATGTGTCAGATTGGAAATACGTCCTTTTCCCACCGCTCTGTTAATGGCCCGTTCTGGCCCCTGCCATGACAGGCAGGATCAAAATTTGCGGCAAAATACCATTAAAAATTACAGATAACCATGAATGAAAGTAGCGACAGCGTAAAGCGATTGGATGGATACTGTCAATAATAGATAATGTTCTTCTTCCCCTGCAGAAACCCCCCGGACACACAGGACACACAGGACAGGCAGGAAGAATTCCCCAACGTGAAGGACAAGTGTCGCAACATGGAGCGCAGTTACTCCCTTCCAAGCCTACGGATTCGCAGATACACGGAACCAGGAGCAAGGTAAGTCTCTCCGACAGTCCTGAGGGGATGGGATGTCGGTCGGCATTGCGTTGAAGTGAATGATAATTGATGTTGAATCGTTGAGGCTTCCGATTTGTTCTGAGAAGTGCGTGTCACATTCCGTCAGGGCTTAAATTCGCAATTTTGTTTTGTATCAGGAAACACCGTCCCCTCCCCCCAAAGGACCCGAACAGGCCGAAGCCAGGTCTGTGCCCCCCCCTTAATAGGCAAACAAATAAAGAGCCAGTGAGGCCGAGCCCCCGTGATGCCGAGTTCAGTGACCCACCATAGACACACATTTGAACGTAATCCTTAGTCAACGCCCACACCCGCTCCAGCGCCAGCTCCAGCTTCTCCGTTTACTCTGTGGCCCATACATAAATAAGCAATGAGGCTGGGGGTTTTTGTCCCAGTGGCCAACAGGCCACTTGGCCAAGTAAAACGTACGGCCAGTATTGACGGAGGGGTGGCATTTGTCACAAAAACTTGTAAATTAGCCCGCTGCCCAGCGGAAAGCAACAACTTTAAGACCTCTGCTAAACGCATGGAGAGAATATCTTTGGGAGAGATATAATTGAACAGCCAGCGGTACTGCCTCTTAACCTTTTGTGGACACTAAGCCCTTGGCCCCAAGAGCAGCTTTAAATTTCAATCATCTTACGGTTTCTCTATGATATTATGCAAGAACGAAACATCACAATATCATAGGTACTTTATTTCCTTATTTACACATATAAATCAATATCGTATATGCGATATATGGGCATTTCCGCCAAAAAAAAACGTATTTCCGCATACTTTTGCACCGACAATATTTTCTAAATTTATTGAAAGTAAACTTATTTAAGCCATTGACATATAATTTAAAGAGCTTTGATGGGAAACCCCACTAAAACATGCAAAAGTTCACTTCTTCGGTACCTTTACCATTGTCTCTTATAAGAAAGATGATTATTGATACAAGTTTTTCCCCAAAGTATCTACAAATTCCAACACAAATTGGTCCAATCTAGGGTAACGGTATATTTTTTAAATTTCATAACGAACAACAAGAAATGGAATGGAATGAAAAAAACCATTTACAGCTACTCTACCCTTCCACTTCCCTTATTCTGGCTGTCCGTCTCTCTCTCTCTCTATCTATCTATCTCACTCTTCCTCGTGCTGTGACGCGAAGCGAGATAGCAACACAGCTGATGTCGTTGTGAGAAGCGTGAGAGAGAAAATAGTAGCGGAAAAGTGGAAACAGATAAAATAATATAGAACTAAAATCAAAAAGAAATACACGAAATGCAAGAATTAACTAGCGGTCCTCTCTTTCTGCCTATGTTTTTTCCATCTCTCATGACAATTTCGAGCAAAATGCACCTTCTGGCTTTCTTTTGCCTCGTTGTTTGCAGACGGTTTTTAAATTTTAAAAATACCAACACCGATCATTTTTGCGTTCAATACTATCGATAGCACTACCGAAGTTTTGAGTGATATGTTGCGCAGCACTGATGCGATAAATAAATCATGTCCACATGCTGCCGGGCAACATTTTTCCAGCCGCATGCTTAGGTCCCAGCAACATTTCAACCTCACCTCAGCGTGTTTGATCAACAATATACTGTGATTGCTCACAAGCCATGTAAACAGTGGGGTGAGTTTCACCTTGCATGCGTCGAATTTTCTGGGCCGTTTCGCCGGTGGTCTCCACCCCACTTTTTCCCCAGCAACACACGCTTGTTGCCGAGCGACATTTTTAATCAACAGCAACATCGGAAGGCGGGCCGGGCGTATTTGAAAGAAACGGCCAGCCGCTCAAAACTCATGAACGTAAACAACAGAAAAAAAGTGTCGAGTTCCAAAGAAATCTCTGGGTTCAACCCCTCTATATTTGCGCAACTTGCAACAGAGCGTGCGCAATGCGCAATGCAACCAATGAATCGAAAAATCCGTCAGCTGTTCAGCATGTCCAGAAATTATTTTTAAAAATAACTATACTCGTACAATATTACAATATAAAAGTGGCAATTCAGGGCCCCGTGTGTCAATTCAAATCTTATTGAAATCTGTGCAATTTGTGAAGAACGACAATTTGTGCCCCCGTTACCGGTCTTCAACTACAGAACTCACTGTTTGTCTGCGTGTGTGTGTGTGTGTGTGTGTGTATCTGTGTGCTGTAAATATGAGCCGCCTGGCATTCCTAGTGACGCTTTGAAAAAGATTATGAAAAAAAAACAACGCAAATAGCGCATCCAATCAAGAACTATACGCGAAAATCAATAAAACACCTAACCGAACAAAGTTTATTACGCAAAAGCTGCAGCCGAACAGAACAGAACAGAACGGAACGGAACACAAGCGAAATGTCTACAACAGCAATGAGCATGCCCCAGCCTGCCGCGGCGGTCGGGGGGGGAGCTGCAGCTGCAGCTGCAGCGCTGCTGCAACAAGAACAAGCGCAAGGATGTGACGTCGAAACCGAAGCCGAGGGCGAGGGCGACGATTTGCTGGTCGTGTGCCTGGTGGGCGGCGTTGATGATAATAGGAGCGCCGAGAACGGTGCCATCGTTGGCACAGATAGTGGGCGTGCCTCGGCCAATGAATTCGATGGCGTTGCCGAGGAACCGGGGAGCAGCGCCCCACAGCAATTAAAGGAATTCACAGAAGCTAGTCTAAGGAGCAATGGACGCGACGGCGACGGCGACGACGATGGCGTTGGCAAGGGCGCGGGCAAGGGCGAGGATGTCTATGCCAGCCGCGGATCCCATACAAAATGGTACTTAATGCCCGTGGAGCCCTCACCCACGTCCACCAGCAGAACCCTCCCCACTCCGACAGCTGACAGCCGTGAGGTGGACGAAGCTGCTTCGCCGGCACTGAGCGAAACCGCCATGTAAGTTGACAGAAGGGTCACCGCACCACACCGCACCGCACCGCACACATGACTTGGAAAAAGGGGCAAAGTGGTGTCCTTGCCCCACGGGCTGGGTGGGTGGCTGTGCTGGAGCCGCAGGCATCGCTAATTTCGCGGACCATTGGTCAATTTTATGCTCGTGGCGACTCCTGCTTGTTGACTTGTCTCATGACCCCCCTGAGTGCCCCCCTGAGTGGCCCCTGGGTGCCCCCTGTGCTCTGTTTATCGATTAAATGAGCCTTGCCTAATTTCCCACTGACCTGTTGGTGCTGTTTAGCCTCTGACTTTTTCTCTTGGCATTTTCCTCACGTGCTGCCAGCTCTCTCCTGCTCCTCTCTTGCCACCAATCGGATTATTTTCCTCTGTTTTCTTGTGCCTGTCAGGCTCTGTGAGGGCTCTGACGATTCTTATGAATATTCTGGCCCGTCTTGTCACCAAGTTCCTGGAATGTGCCGGTGACTGTGGCTTATTTTTAGATATGCAAAAACAGGGCAGCCGATGGGCTTGTACTTCTAGCTCAGTCTGAGGCCTGGAGATACATTATTTATGGGGTTACCTCATCTCAACCAGGACAAAAGCCACATATGGCCCGAACGGCATTCCAGGCCGGGTTGAAGAATCTCCATTTACGGCCAACAGCTGTCGACTACGAATTGGTTAATGGTTAATGATTGGCTTTAAAGGCTTAACGGAGTTTCACTTTCACGATGCAACGTCTTATGCAACGCCCCATAGATAGTGCGCCAAAGTCTTGTGAAATGACAGATCGAACTGAAAGTATCTCACGAATTAGAATGATATATGCTACTCTTTTTATTGGACCACCCTTCGACGGTGCCTTTGTAAACGATGACGACCACGACGAAATTCCGGCGGTGACGACTGACTGCCGAGCTGATTACGGCTATCAGACTTATCAGTCGTTCAATGTACACTGTACAGTGTACACTCACTGCTGTGAGGCTATGCTTGTACGTGACTCGATTGAGGGGTTGTCGAATCGTATCCACAAGATAAACGCCAGCCGCCAGCCGCCAGCCGCCAGAGACAACACAGACAACAAATACGGGGTTGAGCATTGTTACGTTACGAAATGAGATCGACAAGAATCCAATCACAGCACTACAGCACCACAGCCCACTTTCACAACATCCGTCGCATTGATTAGCGCTAGTTAGTCGGTGCCTCCTCCTCCTAGTTGCAGTTATTTTTCGGATCGAAATCGAATATATCTGTGGCCGTGTCATAATATGTTGGCTGGCTGCCGCTTCGGTGATTCAATCTTCGTATATTTTCACAATTGAATGAAATGATATGTTCAGTGATCGTAAAAACATATACTTAGACATGTACGTACACATTAGTAGCGGCTCACCGGTGGAAAGTCGTATTTTTGGCCGAATACGAAAGCATATGGCCAAGACAATGTTTAATTATGTTGCAATGCGTCGTGGAGGCAGAGACCCCGGGGGGAAAGTTATGGCTCGAAAGGCAACAGCCACATCTGCTGGCCATGCTACGCGTTCATTCCATTTCCAAAAAGCAACCGCCCCCCCTCCCGCCCCCAAATCTCCAGGTGTAAATAAGACATTGGGGCCGAGGAAAATGCAAGCCAGTGAGTCGTCTCCGTCCTGCAGCAGGAGAACAGGAGCCCCGACAGCTGTCATCTGACGGCGTGTCCTTCTCTCTTTGGGGAAGTTCCATTCCAAGACGCTCAAAGAGATTGCTTTTACCCTGGTCCTTGACATTTTCGGGCCAAAGATGCATTCGCAATGCGTGGAACAGGGCTAATGGAATATTAATTAATATTTTCCTTACGGCCCACGGCCCACAGCACCCATCCCCCCCTCCGGGTGGTCATTAAGTTTGTAGGTGTCTATCTGCTTAGCTAATTAGATACCTTCGTGCCTGTCATCAATCAGCCGCATTCTTTACTCCTTCCTCGAGACATTCTGCGGGCCTCAGCATCGCTGCGAAAACTTCATCCATGTTTTTGGGCGATAATTAGCTGCTGTCATCCGACACCTTATCCTCGTTGGCGGAAATTAAAACAGCAACAGCAACGATAACACGATAAAAAGGCCAAGCAAAACTTTCC